AGGAATTTCGACTAAGATTCCAGTGAGTGTTGTTCAGCCTTGTCCAGTTTATGGGCAAGTGTGTGTAAGAATTGATGCTTAACAGTGGCAGCACTAACGAATAACAGAGAACGAAAAGATTTTTAGGCATCTCCTCTTCCTCTTGAAGGGGTCAAATGAGAAATGGCCAAAAGCATATTAAAGAAAGTTAAGATAAAAAAGGGTTGGTTGGTTTTAGCGTCAACATAATCCAGATTGTTTTCCTACTGTGCAAAAAACCAATGGGTCAACAGCAACGGATCGCAATGGCCACTAAATACTAATGATGACCTACACAACACAAGTAAGTGAAGTGGCTACATTACAGGTTCAAAACTAAGGCAAAACAAGAGGTTGATGAAATGGAAAAAAATCAAAATCAGTGGCACACAAGACACATTTAAAAGATAATCAATCATGTAATATCAGGTAGATATTTTTCTCACGACAGTAAATTTAAACAACAGATGGAAGTTGAAATTAAGATCCTTAATTTCAGAAACCTGTTCACTATATATGGCCGTGAGGAAAAATTAATGCACGACGAAACAAGTGGGCCAGACGAAACAAGTGGGCCAGCACAAGTGATGAAGAATATATATATGTTTATTATTATTATTATTATTATTATTATTATTATTATTATTAGTTGCTTGGATATTAAGTTATGGTTGCGTTTGAAGCCTTTATTTAAAGGGATCTTCTGTTTTGGTGAGGAGCAGAATTTGATGAATGAAAATAATTGATCGTGTTTTCTTTTGGGAGAGTATCCCGTGTTCTGGAGAGAGTATCTCCTTGTATCTTCCCGTTCGTTCACGCATTCGCTACATCAGTTGGTATCAGACGTCAGCCACGATCGGACGGTGCCGCCGACGAGAAGAAACATTGTGACCACCATTGCGGATCGATTCCAGAGGATGGATGATCGACTTCAACGGCTGGATGAACGATGAACGGATTTCTCTACCGGGATCGACGAATTACGCCAGACAATGAATAC